TACACTGTAAACGATATCAGTTAATGAACAGTTTCTGTATTTTGTGATTCACAAGTGTTTATTTCCAGCTGTGAATTGCATTATGGGATGTTGATCTCTGCTCGTGTTGAAAATTCCACTCTACAGTATAATAAAGTGACTTTTATTGACTTTGTAGTAAATAATATAACGTACAAGAAATAATATTTAGAGAAATAAGTGTGTAAAATAACAGTAAATGCACTGGCAGTTTATTAAGTTTATTAATATCACTTTAAAAAAAGTCAATGAATGTACCTTTTTCAGGGTTGAAAGTTGTTCCAAGGTCACAATGCAATTAAAAAGCATAAATAAATAGGGAAAATATAAAAAAAAATATATGGAGAATTGCTAATTTATGGATATTTTTTTGTGTAGTTTTAACTTCGTCAACTTTGACGCCTAGTTTCTTAACTCGTTTATTGTTGTGTTAAAATGTGATACTTAAAGGGATAGTGAACTCAAAAACATGAATTATTTTACAGAAAGATGATATTTTAAAGAATATTGCTAACCATTAAACTCCGTCTGTGTGTCTAGATAGATAGATAGATCGAGTATAGATAAAAAGATAGATAGATGGATGGATGGATAGAAGGATGGATAGAAGGATGGATGGTCACGATAGACAGTGAGATAGATAGATAGATAGATAGATAGATAGATAGATAGATAGATAGATAGATAGATAGATAGATAGATAGATAGATAGATAGATTGAGGATAGATAGATGGATAGATGGATGGATGGATGGTCGCGATAGATAGATAGATAGATAGATAGATAGATAGATAGATAGATAGATAGATAGATAGATAGATAGATAGATAGATAGATAGATAGATAGATAGATAGATAGATAGAAGGATGGATGGATGGATGGATGGATGGATGGATGGATGGATGGATGGATGGATGGATGGATGGATGGATGGTCGCGATAGATAGACAGATAGATAGATAGATAGACAGATAGATAGATAGACAGATAGATAGATAGATAGATATAGTATACTTACCATATTCATCCCTGGTTACTAATATTCTTCATAATATCCTCTTATGTAGACTTATAGCTATACTGTATAGACTCCTAATGTGATCACCACAGTTATTAAAACAGTTTTGGTGAACTATCCCTTTAATTCATAAATCAGCAATTAGATTTCTATTAAAACATGCAATAAATTAAGAATCATCATAAGGCTATTTGTGTTGTGTTGACAAAAAACTGCAGTAGTGTAAGGAAAATTGCCTTTTTGGTCCTTTTTCGTGTGTGTGTGTGTGTGTGTGTGTGTGTGTGTTTTTGTCAGAACAATACAGTATTATTCTTCATTCAAATAAAAAAGAGAGCTACCAAAGTAATTCGATTATAATATGAAGAGTTTAAAATGCCAAAACCTCCACTTGCCGTCTGAAATTGTCATGTAAAATGAGCATTTTTAATCAGGCTGTTGTGTGTAGTTTCAGTAATTATTATTTAAATAGGTTACTTTCATTGCATTTAAAATGAAATAACCAAACACAAACATACAGGCTGAGAGAAGTGCAAGATTTCAGACGGCATGTAGAGGTGTTTGCATCTGAACTCTTTATATTAAAATAGAAATTACCCAAAACTGAACTCATTTAATTTGTATTTCATGGTAAATCAAATGTCATATGTTATCTATCCAACACTGCATAACACATACATTATATACACGTATAAATAAAAGACACGGTTGTATTTAAGCAGGCAAATACTTAAAGAGTCTGACTGACTCAAAATTGCAATAATTAAAATAAATAGGAGGGATCATAAACAATGCATGTAGGATCTGTTCTGGATCTGCTGTTTGACTTTACACGTAGCCAAATACATAGACAAGGTAATGGCAGAACATTAACATATATGTATGATAAAAGCAATCAAATATTAGGACTGAAGGACGTGTACACATTAAAACTGCTTCATCTGTGCCACTTCGGTCATTTGATGAATTATAAACATCTGTTCTGTTAGCGCGCTTATTCAGGGCAGTAAATGATAAACACCATGCAATTTTTATGATCCTCCGTTTTGTTTAATTATTCATATTTTCCCCAATTTTGCAATAAACACATTCTCAGATGCAGCTCCAAAAGATTCCCATTTATAGGACATGTATACAATATTTTAGGCCTCCGGTGAATTTATTATTATTGAAATATTTCCCCAGTGCTGTTTAATAGTTTTAGATTGTGATCATGGAGATTAACACTAATGCAAACTGTCTCTTGTAATACTGCTCGGCCAATCAGAATCAAGGACCAGCTGAGCTGTTGTGTAAATATTCATCAACAGAAACAGCCTCATGAAAAAGAAGTACACTTAATAATTATATTGAACGTGCACTTTTGGTGTGCTTCAAATATTACAAGAGTGTTTTTAAAACTATTTGGTGATACAATATGGAGTAAAGACAACTTACACTGTAAAAAAAAAAATAGTTTACTACCTAAAATTGAGTGAACATGTTACTTTTGAAGTGATTAGTTGACTAAAAAAACTGTAAACCCAGTGCTTTTAAGGTAGTTAGTTTACTTAACTTTAGAGAAGTTAGTAAACAAGCTGCTTTGAAAACATTGCTTTTAAAGCGATTAGTTGACTTTAGAAAAGTGAGTAGATTCATTGATTTTAAGGCGATTAGTTGATTTAAAAAAGATTTAAAGCATTGCTTTTAAAATGATTAGTTGACTTTACTTTAGAAAAGTGAGTAGATTCATTGATTTTAAAGCGATTAGTTGACTTTACTTTAGAAAGGGACCAAACCTGTTGCTTTTAAAGCGATTAGTCGACTTAATAAAGCGAGTAAACTGCGATTTCTAAGCGATTAGTTGACTTTACTTTAAAAAGTGGGTAAACCCATTGCTTTTAAAGAGATTTGTTGCCTAACTTTAGGAAAGTGAGTAGACTCGTTGCTTTGAAAGCAATTAGTTGACTTTAAAATAATTAACACCTATTGCTTTTAAGGTAGTTATTTGACTTTACTTTGGAAAAGTGAGTAGACTCGTTGCTTTTAAAGCAATTAGTTGATTTAAAAAAGATTTAAAACATTGCTTTTAAAATGATTAGTTGACTTTACTTTAGAAAAGTGAGTAGATTAATTGATTTTAAGGCGATTGGTTGACCACTTTAGAAAGGGACCAAACCTGTTGCTTTTAAAGTGATTAGTTGACTTAATAAAGCGAGTAAACTGCGATTTTTAAGCGATTAGTTGACTTTACTTTAGAAAAGTGGGTAAACCCATTGCTTTTAAAGAGATTTGTTGACTTTACTTTAGGAAAGTGAGTAGACTCGTTGCTTTGAAAGTGATTAGTTGATTTAAAATTTTTAAAACCTATTGCTTTTAAGGCGGTTAGTTGACCTAACTTTGGAAAAGTGAGTAAACATGTTGCTTTGAAAGCGATTAGTTGACTTAAAAGCAATAGGTGTTAATTATTTTAAAGAGAGGAAACCTGTCGCTTTTAAAAAGATTTATTGACTTAACTTGAAAAAAGTGAGTAGACTCGTTGCTTTGAAAGCGATTAGTTGACCTTACTTTAGAAAAGTGACGAAACCTGTTGCTTTTAAAGTGATTACTTGATTTTAAAAAATGTAAAACCTATTGCTTTAAACGATTAGTTGACTTAACTTTAGAAAAGTGAGTAAACCCATTGCTTTTAAAGCGATTAGTTGTTTCTAAAAGATGAGTTGAATACTTTAAAAGCAGCAGGGTCGCTCACTTTAAGTGATTATTTGAATATGTTTTAATGCACTGAGTTTACTCATTTTAAAGTAATTAAAATGCATTTCTTAAATAGTCCACTTAACAGTATTCTCTTTTTTGTTAACTTGTTGCTTTAAGGCAACAGGTTTACACACTTTAAAGTAACTGACGGCTTTTACAGTATATAATTATACATTTTGATGATATACTTTCTTGACTGTTTCTTAAAGTTTTAATTTAATATTTTTGTGCTTTAAAGCACGAGTAAGATATTTAATTATATATTTTTAGCAGTATTTAAAATAACATTTAAAGTTAAAACTGCATTCCAAATGTGTCACCACAAATACAAACACACACCTTTCAATTGAAATGACAGTGATGACATTTTGGCAGTGCACCTGACATATTTCAAAGACAATTATTACATAAACGTGCATAAAAAGATGTACTTAAATCCTACTTGAGTAAATAAAATACATCAAATTTCATCAAACTACATTTATTAAACTATAGAGTGTTCTCATTATCTTTTAATATCAGTAACATTCAGTTGTCTGCAGTCATTGGTACTTAAGTATATTCTTTTAAAATATGTATTTTCAAAACACGTCACAACTCATATTCACAGAACTAATAATATTCAGCACACATAAAGATGTGCTATTGTGTACTTCTTTTTCACAAGAGCAAAGAGAAGCTACCCACATAGAAATCGGATATATGGCAATATATACAAATAACATATATGACATATAAGTTCATGTTTGGATTTTACATTTATAATATGTCATATATGCACCACATACTTTGAAATATTACAAAAATATCCACTTTAATTTTTTTCATCCATTGCAATTACTAATATGAACATATATGTTCAAATATAATAGCTATAATTCTAAAATATATCTGTATGTGTGTTTATGTATGCATATATGACAGACAGATAGATGTATAGGTAGATGTGTAGGTAAGTGGATTGATGGATAGATGGACGGACAGACATAAGAGTCATTTATATGTATGCATATATGTTAAACAGGTGGATGGATAGATGGATGGATGGATGGATGGATGGATGGATGGATAGATGGATGGATAGATAGATAGACAGACATACATAAGTCATTTATATGTTACATATATGACATGTATTTCATATATATAATCCAAATATGAACCTGTAATATGCATCATGAATATGTAATTATATGCATCAGATTTCTATATGAATATCAACAACAATAGCAACTGAACAGTGGCAGATTTTAATGCTTTTTAAAAGAAAAATATCAGCATGTAAAATAGAAACGACACAAATTGATGGCAATTCATAACTATTTTATGTTTATGTGTTGGATTAGAGGCTGAATTATAAGAGTTCACACAATCATAAGCCTTTTTGTTTGCGTCGTACATTTTTATGCAAAACAGATCAGACAAATTTGCATGTAAATGTATAATGTTTTCCTGTCAGGTCATTTCTATGAACAGAAATCATATTCATCAGTGTTTCTCATTCTCAATCTTAAACCTGATGTTATGTGAACGTTTACCACCATAAATTACTATGTTTCTATTAAAGATTGAAGCTCGAATGGTGATTTAATTTGGTTTAATTAAGTCAATACTTGTTAATTATGTTCACTTGGACTTGACTTAAATCTGTGCACATTCTCCTGTCAAGTTTATTACTTTAAGTAGATCACAACGTTGGCGTTTGCACATTTTCCCCCGTTTTGTGCATAAGCCATGTTCACAAAGACCAGATCCTCTGCTTTTATAACTGTTTTTGAAGCAGAAATGTTCCTTTGGCTGCTACATTACACACCACCCAAGATGTAGTACCTGATCTACAGTATAAACCAGTGAAGCATCATCTAAAGCTGGCCGAAGAGGATGGAGCAGAGCAGAAAGATGGAGTAGAGCAGCATCAGGCCCAAACCCAGCCTCCGGTCCAGCTTCCAGCCATTCAGATGGACACTCAAGACCTGAAGGAGACACGCACGCACAATGTTAACACTGCTTGTGTGTGTGTGTGTGAAATCAGCATGCAGTACTTTCTGGATGCCTTGGTAAAACTTTATATTAATGAATGGTTCATGCATGAGCAAATGGTTGATGAATCATTCATAAAGCACTGACTCTACATTAACAGACATTAGTAAGCAGTTTATAATGCTGCATGCCTGTATAATGGGCTTAATTGACTGTGTTTATGTTAACTATTGCATTATTTACAAAGCAGTTATTTAAAAGTAGCTGGTGGATTTTAAGCTCATTCATAATAGGCAAGTAACTGATTAATAAACCATTCAAATGAACATTTATATATATTATTATTGTGTGGAGTTTGCATGTTCTCCCTGCCTTCGCGTGGGTTTCCTCCGGGTGCTCCGGTTTCCCCCACAGTCCAATGACATGCGGTACAGGTGAATTGGGTGGGCTAATTTGTGTGTAGTGTGACTGTGTGTGTGTGGATGTTTCCCAGGGATGGGTTGCGGCTGGAAGGGCATCCGCTGCGTAAAAACCTGCTGGATAAGTTGGCGGTTCATTCCACTGTGGCGACCCCGGATTAATAAAGGGACTAAACCAACAAGAAAATGAATGAATGAATATTATTCACTCGTTAATAGTTCATTTGCATGTTAATAAATGCATTATTAACACAACTAAATCCAGGTTTGTGACATAATCTAAAGTGAGGACTATTTAAGCCTTATAAATCCTTTGTAAATGACAATTAAAGGCTCATTTATATTCCAAAAAGCAAACGAATGCTGTTTGTGCCAGTAGATGGCGATGTCTGTTTTCCTACCGGCATATTTTAGGCAGACGCCTTGCCGATTCACAACAATAGTGTTAAAGTCTAGATCGAAAACGCAGCCGGCCGAAAGTGCGATATGCACATCAATATAGCAGCATTTAATAATGACACTGTATAACAATAATTAATATGTTTTGAGTACTGTGACCATTGGGTTTAGGATTGGGGTGGGGCTAGGTGTTAAAAAATACAATTTATTGGGTAATTTAATAGATAACAGAAATAATACTCAGTACAACTACTGTTTTACCTTACTGTGACGGTTGGGTTTAGTGGTGGGGTGGGGGTAGACATTAAAAAACATAATAAATGGGAAATATATAGGAAAATATAAATAATTCTAGTTAACTTCTGGCTGCAACCATATCCGATCTAGCAACAACCAGCAATAATGTAACCTAAACATCTCTGAAAAGGTGTCAGCATCATTGTTTAACTACAACAATGTAATTTTGACCCTAATGTTAATTTCCCCGAAGTTAATGGATCTTCCAAAACTCCCTTTCTATAAAATAGTGGATTACACAGTAAATACACACAATTGACATTTGTCATTGATATTTGTGTCGAAATCATAGACTGTAAAATATATGGACGTAGTGTCCGTGACGTCACCCATAGGTTTCTAAAGAGCGCAAAAGAAGCCACAAGTAGGCGCGGCCAACCGTCGCCATTTTGTTCGCGCGTCATCACACCCACGGCGGGATACCAAACAAGGGCAAAGAGGCGGAGAGTGAGGCGGAGCTATAGACACCTGCTGGCATTTAGCTTGGACCTGGCTCAGACACACTTTACTTTGGGAGAAACGCTTAATACTTTATCACCTGTGACTCGTTTGTGTTCTGACCACATGTGCTTGGCTGTACACTATATCAATAAAGTGTTTAGACTTTTAAAAACACTGCTGTAACACACTGAGCTACTATTGTTCTTATGACGTTTCTCAACAGGAGGAAACCGCGAATCACTTCCAAACACTTCAGATATAGTCTGTGTTAGTTAATGTAAGACTATTGATGAAATCCAGCATAACACTGTATGACAACGCTTCAGATGACTGATCTAGAGCTTACAGCTAATCAATCCGTCAGTTTTAAATATAAATATAAACGATCTTAAATAAAACAAATACATGTATAGAGATGGTATATAAGTATATAACTTTACTCACATGGGAAACGGAGGCCAGGTTAATGGTTTGTGAGCACAATTAAGTGCACTCAGCATGCCATGCCATCTAATAATTGTAGGAAACAAGTCCAAAAGGCAACTGACTATGTAAAGCCACATAAAACAACACAGAAATACGATAAATATGCCGAGTTCAGTGGCTAATCTGCCGGATTCAGCTGAGGTGACGGCGACCAGCGAGACCTAGCTGTCACTCAAGTGGCCACGCCCTTAATTATGCAAACCAAATATAACTTAATATAAAGGAAACGGATGAGTTATAAAAACATTCACCCCCTCACAGTTGTCATGAAGGGTGATATTAGCTGTATTAACCAAAATCTTTTTTTGTACCAGGCTGTAAACACCTTTTTTTCTGCTGTAAAGTTGGCCATTCTAACAGTGGGCTCAATTGAAATTTGCTCTGTTTTGGAGCCAGGAGCGGCCAGGACTAGCGGAATTTCAGATGAATTGCAGTTTTAGTTACTTCCGTATCGGCTTCCTGAGGGAGAGCGGGAGGTTGCCGCTTGGTCGCAATGAGCGACTGAGAAAAACTGTAAGTTGTTATATTAAAGCTGTCTGAATGCAAAGGTTCCCGTGTGTATTGTTAATTAGTGATCTGGGCAATTCCAATTTTTGGGTGTGAATTTTCCAGAAGCAAAAACTAAATTTTGAAAACAGTTTGATTGACAACAGTCATTCTAGAGCAAAACTTGGGAAAACCAGGAGTGTTGATAACTATGCTTGTAGTTGAAGTCAGAATTATTAGCCCCCCTGTTAATTTTTTCCCCAATTTCTGTTTAACAGAGAGCAGATTTTTTTTTTCAGCACATTTCTAAACATAATAGTGTTAATAACTCATCTCTAATAACTGATTTATTGTATCCTTGCCATGATGACATTAAATAATATTTGACTGCATATTTATCAAGACACTTCTAGACAGCTTAAAGTGACATTTAAAGGCTTAACTAGGATAATTAGGGTAACTAGGCAGGTTAGGGTAATTAGGCAAGTTATTGTATAATGATGGTTTGTTCTGTCGACTATTGAAAAAAAATTGCTTAAAGGGGCTAATAATATTGACCTTAAAATGGATTTAAAAAAATTAATAACTGCTTTTATTCTAGCTGAAATAAAACAAATAAGACTTTCTCCAGAAGAAAAAATATTATACGAAATACTGTTAAAATTTCCTCGCTCTGTTCAACATCATTTGGGAAATATTTAAAAAAGAAAATCTCAAAGGGGTGCTAATAATTCTGACTTCAGCTGTGTATGTTGTGGTGTTGTGTATTTGCTCACAGTGAGGAAGACTGATGCCAGCAGGAGGACCACAGAATACACCAGACCCTTATTATTGATGAAGACCTGACAAACGACACAGAGAGCCATCAGACATCATCATCTGCACAGTGTGTGTGTGTGTGTGTGTGTGTGTGTATATGTATATGTGTGTGTGTGTGTGTGTGTGTGTGTGTGTGTGTGTGTGTGTGTGTGTGTGTGTGTGTGTGTGTGTGTGTGTGTGTGTGTGTGTGTGTGTGTGTGTGTATGTGTGTGTGTGTGTGTGTGCGTGTGTGTGTGTGTGTGTGTGTGTGTGTGTGTGTGTGTTTGTGTGTATGTATATGTATGTGTGTGTGTATATGTATGTGTGTGTGTGTGTTGTGTTGTGTTGTGTTGTGTTGTGTGTGTGTGTGTGTGCGTGTGTGTGTGTGTGTTTGTGTGTGTGCGTGCGTGCGTGTGTGTGTGTGTGTGTGTGTGTGTGTGGAGTAAACAAAATACTCACCGCTGAGCCGTGATCTACAACCAGAGTCCTCAGAGCCCAGGGGAAGCCCAGACCCAGCAGGATGTCAAAGATGTTGCTGCCGATGGAGTTGGACACGGCCATGTCCCCCATTCCTGAATCACAGTAAGACAGTAAAACAGTAAGAGTTTTTTCTGTCCACCAAAAATGCACTGTGATGCATGCTAAGACCGTGCCAAACAGAGAGGCAGAGATAAAATCCTCACAGTTTTCATGCACACGGAGGTTTATCAGTGTTCCAATTGTATGTGCTAAAAATCTGCAGATTTCTGCGCGCGCAGATTCCGTGTGCGCCTAGGTATTAGTAAACAAATAATACACACATATATCAGACTGATCTGTGCATACCTTGACGAGCAACGATGAGGCTTGCCATGCAGTCGGGCACACTGGTGCCAGCAGCCAGAAACGTGATTCCCATGATGTAGTCTGGAATATCGAGGGTGTAACTGATGATGGTGACCTGCATACATGATCAAACAAAGCTGATCAGAAACACTGGCGTATTCAATAGGAGTGACTGGTCTGGATTTATTTTTAGCTTGATCTTACCATCCACACCATGAGGTAGGAGAAAATAGCAATCCATAAAGTTGAAGCAATGAAGGTGATCATGAACCAGCGGTGCCAGCGTGGCAGGATGCAGTTCGGTACAGTGAAATACAGTAAAACACCCAGCGGCCAGGACACCAGCCACTTCAGACGCGCACTGCAGCCCGCTAATGCACACACAAACACAATACAGACATGAAATGACACGCTTTAAATGACATTTTAGGGACAATTTAACAATAATGAAGGTATATTACAAAATGAATATAACAAATTAAATAATAACCAAATAACTGTGTTTTAAAGGGTCATGACACCCCCCACTTTCAGTTCAAGTGCACCTCAGAATTTTTTCAAAAGATGCATTATTATGGGCGGAGCTCCACGATCAGAGCCAGGAGTTGGGCGTGGCCAGCAGAACAGGGGAGAAGGAGGGGAGCGAACAACTGTTGTCAGTCGGCTCTCAAAATGAGACACAAACCGTGAGGAGTGTGGTGGTTTTTCCTTTCTTCAATAATCAGCAAAGTCTAATGGTTTTGATTTCAGAAGAGTTCTTTATTGTCGACAACAAAGGAGATTTTTCAGGAGACCCCCAGTAGCATCTCTGCCTGAAAATTCTGTCTCACTGATGTTCTGGCCTGCTTATATACTCTTTCGCAGCTGCTTTTCACATTGTTAGATTAGATTAGATTAGAGTCAACTTTATTGTCATTACACATGTACAAGTACAATGCAACGAAATGCAGTTTAGGTCTAACCAGCAGTGCAATAGCAGCAAGTGCAGGATACAGGAATAAGTTATAAAGTGCAGTTATGGAAAACTATAGTGATATTTACAGATGGATGTACTATCAACATTATATACAGGTTGGATAAGCTATGAACAGATTTACAATATATGAATATATGTGCAGGTTGCTATCAATAATCAGTAGTGTGCAGATAGATAAACATGATTACAAGTGTATATGTTACAATATATGAATATATGTGCAGGTTGCTATCAATAATCAGTAGTATGCAGATAAATAACCATGATTACAAGTGTATATGTATAGTGGGTGTGTACATAATTACAAATGCCCATATGCAGTGGGTATGCACAGTTCAATAAGTAAACAGTTCAATGTGGTGCAGTGAATGTGCAAATTTTAAATGTGCTAATGTTAAACAGTGCAAAAGAGTCAGTGGGGGGCAAAAGAGTCAGTGTGGGGCAGAGTTCAGGAGGGAGACAGCTCTGGGGAAAAAGCTGCTCCTCAGTCTGCTGATTTTTGGTCTACATTTGTGTTACATTTGTAACACAAGATCCTAACTAGTTTTAACCCCCAACCCAAACCTGCTTTACCATATATCTTATCCATCAATACTTAACTGTTTCCACATGTGTTGCTCTATTCTCATCCATTTCTTGTGACACCTTAGTTGTTTACTCAGGCCATCTCCCCTTTCTAACTCTACATCGTACCTTAATTCCTCTAATGGTATGTAAGTCTACAAGCAGATTATACACATACAATTTGAATATATAGATTAACCTCGCACTTTAAAGAGTATAAAATCCACTTCAGGAGACGCATGATTTAATAGTTTACAAAGATAAAATGCAAAGAAATAAACAGTAATTTAATGTTAACAGTGATTTAAATTTAATTAAATTTGTTGCTCGTTATTTCATATACACATAACCACAATTTGTTATATCATTATAACAATAATGGTGTTCATATAAACACTTTAGAGGAGGACTTTTCCCCTCCTCAATCCCCGGGTCTGAATGCAGACTCAGTGCAGCAGGTCTCTTGCCCTGTCTATTTGAACCATTAGCCCTGCTGGTAATCTGGAGGATTTAGGTGAACACAGCAGCACGGCGATGTGTCTAAATGTGAACGAACTCCTGATAAAAGACAACGTCCGCCATTCTCCAATTCTCGTGCTGCTCTCCCGACAAAAAATGCTAGCAGCACACACACAGCTTTGCTGTATCAGCCCTGACAGTATCACAGCGAAAAACATACAACAAACCCTGTGGATCATGGAAACAATCACATACGAGCCTTCATGAATGGCTAAATACTGAGTGGAGTGAGACGTGGACCCGGTCTCACCCAGTCATCAACGTAGGATCTCACAGCTTAGCACTGGCAGGTCTGTCTTGCCTTCGGAAAGCACGCGCAGTCATGAATAATTAAGAAGCCGGCTCTTCTCCGCTATGAATAATAATGAGAAACCGACGCGTCATCTTTGCACTTGCAGTTCTGCGATACTTCACTGATTTTGATCCGGCCCAAAAATCAATTTAAACCCGGAAGCTGAAATTAGCTGACAAAAGCTCAAAATTATCCAGTTTTCCCCACAAATAAAGCTGACAGGTGCTAACATTGTCTTATCTGATGCTCAACACACACAAATCTGTTAATATATATTAAAAAAAAGTACTCAAGGGTTTCTTGAAACTTTAATGCACGATTTATTTACTTGATCCATTTGTTTATAATAAAATAATGGAAAAATTGAACAGTGCTGGACAAAAATTAATTGCATCGAAAATCGGTTGACAATCACACACTGTGAATTATCAAAGACGCGATAGAATCGAAGATTCTTCAAATGACACATGTAAAAGTTATAGCTCAAATGAAAGCTCTTGCCGGTGCTCGTACGGTTCAAGCATTCTTTCTACTGAATTATATTCACATATCAAACAGTTGCTGAATGAATCTTGGTGTTTCCATGGCGCAGAAGTGAAAACAATACATTAATGATCAATAAGCAGCCCAAGATAGCACAGACAGCTGTCATCTCTCACCTTATGCTGTGCGCTTCAGGGCCGTTTCTCCTCTGTTTTTGAGCTGATGTGCATAAGTAATCCTTTTATATGTCTTACGTGCTCCAAACACACTGAATTATGTTTGATCAAACAAAAGAATAGTGAAATATGTAAACAATGATCGCTCCCTGTGGCTTGTACAGCACCTCTCATCAGTGGGAATACAATAACTTTTGCACAGATTATGGTGGAGACATTTCTCTTTTTTGCTATGATTACAGACGTGTGCAGGAACCACCAACATTAATTACAGCACGCTAGACCACACAGAACCTAAAAGGTACACTTTCACATTTGAGTTAAAAATATAAAAGCGCCTCTTTTTTTAGGAGTTTATTATAACACAGACGACATATACAGATATTTTAAACACTTTCAGTTGTGTTTTATGACAATTCAAAGGGTTTAAAATGATACCAAATTTTTGCATTTACACTTCTGCATGTGGATTTGAGAAGCTTTTAAATTCGGGTGGGCAAAATCCAGGCGGAAATCCCCAAATAGCAGCAGAGTTTAACTGGTTGTTAACAGCACGTGGAAAATAACAGTTTAAAGCAGTGGTCACCAAACTTGTTCCTGGAGGGCCGGTGTCCTGCACATTTTAGTTCCAACCCTAATCAAACACACCTGAACAAGCTAATCAAGGTCTTGCTAGGTATACTTGAAACATCCAGGCAGGTGTGTTGAGGCAAGTTGGAGCTAAACCCTGCAGGGACACCGGCCCTCCAGGACCGAGATTGGTGACCCCTGGTTTAAAGAATATAATCATTATTTAGATGCCGTTACACATCTGAAACAGGCTTAACATTATTAAATACCCATGAGGCACTTGTGACTTTATTAGTTAATAGTTAATAACAAATAGATATACTACGTATTTTTGGCTGTAGACATAGTTTGGACAGATCGATTCTTCGTATAGTAAAGTCATGCAGTGTGAAATCCCCTAACGCTGATCCATCTTGCAGTGTAAACAAAGCAGCGACAGAACGCTAGCCCAGATAGTCATGCAGAGTGAAAACATCTGTGACACGACTACTTTAAAAAACCTGCAGTCTGAACTCTGCATGAAGTGTTTCTGATTCTCCTTGGTCTAAACAGAGTAAATGCAAAGTAAATCAAGGTTTACACTATCATACAGTGGTTTGATGTACTGACCAGGGATACGGAGCGGTCTGAAGATCTGGTCCTCGTCTTCATCCTCTTCCTCAGGCTGAGTGTTCTCCACCTCCAGCTTCACTCCTGCGTCCTCCAGCGTCTGCTGCGCGTCAACATTTCCACCGTTCACCATTCCCCTGGAGCTCTTCACCGAGCCCCGGCTCGTCCTGTTCTCCTTCAGCAGCCTCTGTCTCTGAAAACAACACAGTCACAATTACAACCACTGACTTTTAGATTTCCAGTCAGAGCTTGAATTCTTCATAAAGAGTGGAAAACAAGGAATGAAAAAAGAGAACCGGTGCTGACCTCGCTGATGAGCATGCGTCCAGCCATGGAGAGGCGTGTGCGCGGAGAGAAGTGTGGAGTGATCATGACGCGCAGGCCAGCCTCTGGGAAGGAGAGCTGATGAGGCCTTAAGATGAGGAGCTCGTCCACCATCAGCACTGAAGAGTCCTGAGCAGAGCCTGCGGGAGCTCAACACACACACGCACACACACACACACACACGCATGCATGAATGCACAACACACATACACAAGTACATGCACGCACAAACACATGCACACATGCACAAACGAGCACGCACATACAAACACATGTGCACAAACACACACACACAAACGCACGCAAAACCACATATGAACGCACACATGCAAAAACCCACACACAAACACGCACGCACACACACACACACACAAATGTGCACGCAAACGTATGCAATGAAAAATGTAAACATGCACGCACCAACGCACATCAGGCACGCACACATATGCACGAATGCACATAAACACACACACACACACGCACAAATGTGCACGCAAACGTATGCAAGCACAAATGCAAACATGCACGCACAAACGCACATCAGGCACACACACATATGCACGAACGCACATGAACACACACACACACACACACACACACACAAAAGTGCATGCAAACGTATGCAAGCACAAATGTAAACATGCACGCACAAACACACATCAGGCACACACACATATGCACGAATGCACATGAACACACACACACACACACACAAATGTGCACGCAAACGTACGCAAGCACAAATGTAAACATGCACGCACAAACGCACATCAGGCACACACACATATGCACGAACGCACATAAACACACACACACAAATGTGCACGCAAACGTATGCAAGCACAAATGTAAACATGAACGCACAAACGCACATCAGGCACACACACATATGCACGAACGCACATAAACACACACACACACACAAATGTGCACGCAAACATATGCAAGCACAAATTTAAACATGCACGCACAAACGCACATCAGGCACGCACACATATGCATAAACACACACACACACACACAAATGTGCACGCAAACGTATGCAAGCACAAATGTAAACATGCACGCACAAACACACATCAGGCACACACACATATGCACGAACGCACATAAACACACACACACACACAAATGTGCACGCAAACGTACGCAAGCACAAATGTAAACATGCATGCACAAACACACATCAGGCACACACATATATGCACGAACGCACATAAACACACACACACACACAAATGTGCACGCAAACATATGCAAGCACAAATGTAAACATGCACGCACAAACGCACATCAGGCACGCACACAAATGCACGAACGCACGTGAACACACACACACACACACACAAATGTGCACGCAAACGTATGCAAGCACAAATGCAAACATGCACGCACAAACGCACATCAGGCACACACACATATGCACGAACGCACATGAACACACACACACACAAATGCACAAACACACACACACCCACATCACTACAAACACTGCTACTGCACCACTAAAGTGCTACTGTACAGGCACTATTTGCACTTCAACGATTACTTCACTTCCAGAATGAAGATTTTCAGATTTTTGTCATCTTTTCTCGCTTTTTGTCATCTAAAATTTCATTAAAAATCTTTTCTTCAGTCAGATTGAAAGAAATGAAGCGTTTGTGTTGAAAACATGCAGGATATTTCAACATAAAGTGAATTCTTATGGCGCCCAATGGTTTGATTTTGCTAATTGCAGTTTGAGTGCAGAAATGTTCTGAGCTGAGGAATAATTTCTTTAAAAACAAAAACATTCAGTGTAAAGTCTTTTTGTTGAAATAATACTTTTTCTTATTAAAATGGCTGATGATTCCGCTAGCTAAGACCCTTTAAAGCTGCACTGAAACTGCAATTATGCCCAAACCCTTGTGTTTCTAAATAAACCTTCATTTATTTTTCACTGAAGGACGAAAGAAATGAACAACTCGGATGACAAGGGCGTGAGCAGATTTACTTAATTCTGGGAGTGATCTAATCCTAAATGTACAGTATCAGTGCCATACTGTATCTCATGCTGTCCAATACCTTTCCTCAGCAGCACCATGGACGTGTTGCCGTTTGCTCCCACTTCTTCCGCCTCTTTATCTCTGGATGTTTCTCTGCGCACACAACACTGACCTGGACCACCACACGATCTCTGGACAAAACTGGCAAGCTGACTGTTAAACCTGTGAAGAAGAAGATCACAAGGCAAAGACATCGATCAATGAGTTCATGTTTCTGAGAAACTACTAAACCACACTAATATTCATTTCACTGCAGCCAGGGCCGGATTAACCAATGGGCCTCATGGGGTCAGGCCCAGGTGCCCGTGCGAGGGGAGAAAAAAAAAGCAGATTTCGGAGTGTCTTTTTTAGGCTTAGTGCAAATAGCGCACCTAGTTGGAATAATCTATTGACGGTTTATGCCCATCAATGCCTGATTGACAGAGACAAGATGAGTAAAGAGCAGGATTACAGCGGGAGTGGCGTACCTCGTAAAGCGCACAGCATCATCTTTTGACGCAATCGATCATCAACCCGGTTCGAATCCACCATCTGCTAAACTCGTGCTACTTTTTCTCTCCACATTACATATCAGATTGTAAATATATATTTTTTTTAACAGGGAGGAAACATTTTTTGTAAATAATGCAAATGTGTATATATATTAGGGATGTAACGGTATCAAAATTTCACGGTACGGTAATACCTCGGTATGAATGGCACGGTACGGTATTTATTGAATCATTTAAAGGAAAAACAAAACTATTGAAGAGACTCAAAAAAAGTGCTAGAATGTTCAGGTTACCTCAACACTCAACAGATCAATGACATACAAATGATCTATCTGTAAACTTTCAGGAACAGGAACTTAAATTATTCAATATTAATAACAAAAAATATTAAACCATGTAAAAAAAAACACCACTCGTAAGGACAAGCCTTGAGTGAGATAGAGGTCTCTTGGTGGTACAAGTCAATGTCTGCATCAATCTGAGCAGTGTGCTGTGTTCTGCTGTCCCCTTGACTAAAAGAATCCCCATCATGTTAGTCGTATTCCCCGACTTGTATTTCAGCACAGTCTGGCAGTGCCTGCATACCCTTTTTTTCTGTCACCTTTTCTTGTTTCGTTTCAGAGAGAAACTGAAATGCTTTCACACATCTGATTTAAAACCCGCTTTAGGTTCGACCATTTTTAGCTCTCTTTTTTGCCGCTACTAGCAGCACCCTCCATTTATGCATTACTGGATCTGTAGCGGCAACAGACCGCAAAGGATGATGGCCAAGCCTGGGCTGATGAAAATTGTAATTTCCGCTACCTCCCATTTGCTCCATTCGCCTGAGCAAACTTTTCACCAAAAGACCTATGATTTTATTGAGTCACAACCATGGTAATATTGAAAGAAATTGCTATTTCGGTATGACGGTATTTACAATATTGTTACATCCCTAATATATATATAT